CCGGCCCGGGCGGGGCGAATAAAACCCCTGGCGGCCCCTGCCGATCCAGGGGAGGAGAGAGGAGACAGGTAAGTGTCGGCTCACCCTGGGTGCCTGCGTGGTCCGGGGGCGGGCAGCTTGAGGAGTTGTGGCACAAGGAACGAGCTTTGTCTCCGGGTTTCTCCCCACGTTCTCCCCATCGCTCAGCTGGTCCCAGTCCAAAGTCAGATGATGCTGATCTGCAGAGTCCGGAGGTGGCTCGGCGTTGTACGCAGGCAGAAGTTTCCTTGTGGTGCTGTTCGCCGGTCTATTTGCAGAGAGACGCTGTGCAAATAGCCCGAGCACAGACAGAGGGGGAGAGAGATCCGTGTGGATGGAGAAGCCATCGGGAATACTGTACAGACACCAGCTGTGACAGCAGAAATCGCCGAGAACTGTAATAACGATTCGAGAAAGAAAACAGCAAGACAATCGCCCTGTCTCTCTGCGCATAAGCCAGGCAGACAAAAGGGAGAGAATCAAATACTTCTGCAACATTTAGGAGGAAATGAATAGATGTGAAACTCAAGTGGTTGTCTTTGTTGCACCCAAAGTCCGGCATCAGTGCTTCAGAATGAAAGATTATTGGGCCGAGAAATAGCATGAGATTTTTTTTCTTATGGTATCACTAGTGTCGGGAATGTTTTAGGGTTTGCCAAGGTAGAAATGAGAGCCTTATTTCTTTAATTAGTATTCAGCTGGTAAGGTTAGCTCTGCAGTGCTTGGCTGTTTGATGCTGACCTCCCCCCCATCCATACCCATACAAGCACATCCTTCTTTTTTCGAGTAGAGTACATGCGTTGCTGGTAAATGTTTCATGGTCTGGATCCTCAGGGTTGATGTTGATAAACCGAGAAGATGGGTTTTTTTCCTCCCTAAAGATCAGTTATTTCCCCTGTGCTTTCGATAGACGATGTAGTTCAGGTGAGTCAGAGTTATGTTAGGGTTGACTTCCCTGAGAACACAGGGAGGGATTTGGGGGTTGGGGGTGTATTAAGGCTACTGAAGCTTTCTGATTCTCTGAATTGAAACATGACACTTTCATCTGTTTCCTTTGCAAAGAAAAATCTTCTGTTTGATTGATAACTTCTCAAGGCAAATCAAACACTTGAAAGGACAGTGTATACTTTATAGTCCCTCTCCCCAGACATACTGCATTGTCATTTATCAAATAAAAGTGGCTAATCATAAAACTTGAAGAAAATAAATTCAGGCTATGGGGAAGGGGAAAAATTAAAAAATCATTCTTGGGGGAAGGGGAAAAATTAAGCCAGCAGACAAAAAACCCAGTCCTATAGCTAAACTGTCTTAAATGCCAATCTCCAGAAACACCTCAGCTTGGTAATGAGGTGTAATTTACTTTTCTCAGACTGTATTATGACTAATACTTTTTTTCCCTCTGCCAAATGCTTTGAAGTTAGGGGAGCAAGGTATTTTATTGCATGGTCATTAGTGAGAGCCAAGTAAGGTGATGAGGGTCATAGAAGTACCAAGATTGACAGATTACATTAATAGCAAAAAAGTTGTGGAACTTATATAACTTGCCTTATCCTAGGCAGTAGCTAAAGCTTTTACAGCTACAACAGGTAAAAATTAGCTAGGAAAGATTATGCTGGCAGCAACATTAAAACAGTTTAAAAGATGACAGCAGTGAAGTTAGGCATTTTAGAAATATTCTGGCTATGCCTCATTAAAACTAGCATAGTTTGTGCTGTTAGTATCTTTGAAATATTCATCTAGGGCCAAACATGACTTCTTGTTGAAAGTCATTGTCTAGACTTTCTAGCCCTTCCAGGCTGCAACTACCAGGTGATCTAATCAATATTTGGTGTTTTTAGGAACAGTGAAAAAAAGATGAAAATATATTTAAACAAACAAATAAAATGCCTGCAGCAAAAAGCAGAACAGAAAAAAAATCTAAAAACTGACCCTGACAACTTTTTATATTAAAAAAAATCATCATTGGTTTGAAAACTTATCAAATGCAAACTTCCAACAGTGTTAGGTAAATATCAGTCAGAAGTCTGATCAAGTGTTGTACATTGGAAGTGTTCTTTGATTGGATCAATGTTTCTGTTGGTGAGAAAGACAGACTTCTGAGATTACACAGAGCACTTCTTCAAGTCCAGAGGTCTGTAAGATGGCAAGCTTGTCTCTCACCCACAGAAGTTGGTCTAATAAAAGATATGGCATCATCCACCTTGTCTTTCTAATATCACGGGACTAACATGGTTAAATAGTACTCCATATCTTGTGTCAGTTAATGTGAAGAAAAAAACACAATAATCAGTAATGCAGACTATTTTCCTGCTAAAAAGCCATTAAGCATTGCAGTTTTAATCAGAGGGCATTGTGCCCTTATAATGTGAGATATTATTGTAATTAAGGGTTGCTATAGGTCATTAGAACTGTGTTAACAATCAGCTGACAGCCTCACAACTCCTTTTAGTCTACTTTTATTGATTTAATAGCAAAGCACTTTTACCCTTCTGTATAAAAGGGTAATTGTAAAGCATCTGTATAACTGCAGTTTATCCTTGAGTTGACTATAATGTCCTATGAACAAAAAGTGATAAAGCTTCCATTTATCCTTCATGTATATGCTCAGAACATTGCAACTTTTTATGTGTATGTTGTGTATCTCTCTCTCTGTTTAATCTTATTAGCAGCCAGGCCTTAAAAATTGGGGAACTTTTCATTAATATATATAAAAACATATTACTGCACCCTGAGTAAAAGTCCTTATTTATTAAACAAATATTGCTGTGTGTTTCTTAAGGGTTTTCAACACAAAAATTGCATTCTCTGTGAGTAGAAAATTGTGAGTTGGGTATTTTCAACTTGAAGTGATTTGGGACTAAATTTGCTGCTTAGCATCTGGTTTATGAATGCAGCATTGGCTAATAGGTTTTCATGTTGCATTTTTGTGGACTATTTTGAAATTTGATATTGTGATACCATTTTCAATAGAGCCAATTCCTTAGCCATCTAATTTGTCTTAGCTGATCACATACAGTGTGTCCATGCCTGTTTTCATGTTACCATTGGGTTTTACTTTCTCAGAAAATAAAAGATCAGCTAATTCTAGCTGAGGGAGGGTGCATAAAAATGTGATGATTCCTTCTTCCCCTTCCCCCTTCCCCCATTTGTCACAGCAGGCTTAACCATACGCAGTAATACAGGAGTGCCTCCTCTGGGGGCTTCATGGTTCTACAGGGAAATACCATAAAGACATTTTTTCTCCTAGATAGTTTCTGAAATTCTACAAACAAACTGAGAATACAACAATCAAACTAAGTTCTGTGCTGAAAAGTAACTATTTATGCTGTATAGTCACAGCTATAAAAATATTATTAACCTTTATTTTCAGATAGCTGCATAACCTGTTAACATAGCATGATTTTTTTTCAACAACAATATGGGAAGACAAAAAGGCTACGGAGAACTTTCCTATGAAGCAAATGACAGACTTTTTAAAAAGTATGCTTTAAAAACAAAGCCTTTCTTCCATGTAATCATAATTAAATCTGGAATACCATGGAAGATTGAATAACAATCACTTCGCTTTCTGTGTACACCATGCCAGACTGTGTCATTTATTAAAGCCTGCCTATTGTTTTTCTATTGCCTTGCCAAGTCCTTTCACCTGAGTCAGAGGGTACTAGAGTTAGTTTTGTGTAACGGTGCCATATGTTTGGAGCAGTGTTAGTTTCTTGCTTGATAACCAGATGCAGCATACAGGATGTGCACTCTATTTACAGTGCTCCCATGTGAATTTTTAGGCCAGTTAGCGGCAGGAGGTTGTGGTCTATAGCTGTAATGTCATCTGGCACAGGGAGTTAATGGGTTTGATCATGCTGGCTTGACTTGTAGAACCTCACTAGCTCAAAGGAGCTCTCTTTTATTTAGAAGAAAGGTAAGAGCCAGCAGTTGCAATCTATGCTATAATTATCTAGATTTGTTCTCATATCTTCACCTGTAGTTGTCTAAACAAGCATGGATTGAATGTTACTGTAAAGAAAACTCCTGTGATAGGAAAACCCTCTGTGCCACGCTTTTGAGCTATTGTCAGTCACTAAAAAGGGAGTTTTATTTTGCACAGAAAATACCACCATTTCCAGTTGGCATTGTAAAGTAGAATGGTGGAATATAAATATTTCGTCTAGAGTAGCTCTGCTATCAAGGGGGCTAACCTGCGGATTCCACTGAATTCATGGGATCATGGTGTGAGTTCCAGTGGCAACAGTCAAGTCTCAAATTATCTGAGCACAGAGAGTGTTACTTTGAGTGACTGACCCGTAGTGAGAAAATGAAGGGATAACTTTGCACTGTTGACCCATCTGGGGCATCATTTACTAGGGAGCATTGGCTGGGTCACACTTCAGGGATGTTTCCAGAGACAGTGAAGATCAGGGTTAACCTCTGTGTATTGCCATGGTATTGAGAAGTTAAAGCCATTTAAAGAAAGGACAAGAGGCATGGTGAAGGAAAAGGGGTTAAAAGTCATGTGAGGAAACCTAGGATTAGAAATCTTTCAGACTATCATTTCCCAGCCTAGAAGTATTAGAATACATGTATTGGGGTATGAAAGGCAGGGAAATGGGGATGTGGTGTAGGAGGAGAATCAGAGGAATAATGTGGTTCATGGATTAATGTGGCAACAATACAGTAATAGCAATGTGTGAATGGAGGCACAACAAGATGTATTTTCTCCATAAAGCAGAGGAGCTAATGGGAGGCACCAAGGGAGTAGACATTCTATGGAGGCTTGAGAAAAGCAGAGAAAGGGTGAACTTAGACCTTGATGCCTAGAAAAGGTGAGAGGAAGAAGTAGGTTCACCTCTAATCACAAACAAGAAAAAAAATATTACAGGTTCAATCTCCCTGGTCAAAGGATGCTGGGGACCTGACCGGACCGGGATGAAGGAATTTTGCCTGACCAAGGAAGATCATTTCTGCTCCACCAGCTCTGGCCTGGCCACCAGTCAGAGCCTGCTGCCAGCCCCACTGCCCCTCACTGGGCTTCCTGGCCCTGCCAGCCAACTCAGACAGGGTGTGCTGGGCTTCTGGCCCCAACAGGCAGCTCAGCTGCAATGTGCTGGGCTTCTGGCTCTGTTGGACAGCCCTGCTAAGGTGTACCTGGCAGTCCGCTGCCCTGCCGACCCACAGGGCCCCAGGCAAAAGGCCTCCACTGGGACTCTCTAGTCCTGGAACATCTGTGGTCCAGATGTTGCCAAACCAGAGAGTCCTGATTTAGAGAGTACTGATACAGACATTAGCAACTGAAACAAAATATTGGGTAATATTATCAGCTGATTTAAATTGACCTTGGTTCTTTGAAGTTAATGGACTTTGACAGTTTAGAACATCTGAGGACCCATCCTTACGCAATGGGAAAAGTTGACACTATGGGTGCATCTATACTGCACCCATAGGTCGAAATAAGAGATGCAATTTGAGCTATAAGTATCAGAGGGGTAGCTGTGTTAGTCTGAAT